AATCCCCCTGTGATGTGGACAGGATATGAATTCCAAGTATTCTTCTGGTCTGCCAAGTGAGGTAGTAGGCGACAAACGTTGTAAACAGTCGAAGGAGAATTTGGAAAACGCAGAGCACGACCAATGCAGAAGACGCCGAGTAAGTAGTTCACTTTCCGTGAAGCGCGAACCAAGTCGTAATACATACGGCAAGAGAAACTTGAAAACGGCTAGTCTGTCGTTTTCCAATGACCACACTTTTGCTTCTCTGGGTGAGCCAAAGGGACCCTCATCCTTCGGATCCGGTTGCAAACATACGGAATAAAACTCCTCGATTTTGGCAACAAACCACTTGAGAACCTCGCAGTGCTCAGCCAGATTATTATCGTACATAGCTATTAGTAAACGAAACAGATAATCCCACTTCTGACAGGCGCCTTCGAATTCGACCTTCTTCCACAGCACAGCCTCCAAAAGAGGTACATGGTCAAGTATCTTTAACAAAGTCGAAGTCCATTCCGACGTTGGATCAGTAGCGCGTGATTTCTTTTTAACATTTTCAGCAAGAGCGGAGCTTTGTATAACGCTCATGTTTATGAACCACAGAGCACGGGAGACGGACACACGATTGTTTAAGAGCTTCTGTAGAATCTCTTCCTTTCCCTTGTGATAGTAAGGCAGGCGCTTGCTGAGGTTAACAAGTGATCCAGAACCTGAAAGTTCAATGAACCAGTCGCTAACTTGCGAACGGTTCCGCTCAATAGCTGGCACCACTGTGTCCTTAAAGTTGGTGTAATTTCTTCTTTTTGAATCAAATATGCTTGTCGTGTGTGTCTTCCGAACGAGGACACTGTAGTAGAGATTCCATACGGAGTCCATGTCAGCAGCCGATAAAAGGCTTTTTGCTGAATCATATTCCGAACTGACAGGCTTTCTGTATTTAAAGCCATCCTTGACCAAATCGTCACTAAGTTCATCCTCAGGCTGGCTCGTTTGTTGAGTATAGACGTCAGGAAGCCATGATCCCTTCTTTTTAAGTGGCCGATTTTCCAGCGAAGGGAATTTACTCATTAGAAAACTTCGAATTGAAATCCCGAAGGCTCAACTGATGTTCATTTAGCGAACTATCCCCTATCAGGCAATAAAAATACCAAAATTGGCGCTTTCGTGTACATAATAATAAAAACAAGTGACGCTTGTTCAGGCAACCTCTAGGCCTGTCTCTGGGCCTGCAGTTCAAATTATACTTCATTGAACATCGAAGTAGCAGGATATTTGTGGCTTTTGGGTGCAATTGGACAATAGTTCTTAATTTTTGTCCGTACTGCAGGCTATGGAACGGAAGTAGGCCTTACCCACCGGAGTACGTAGCTTGTCAATGATCGTAGGTCAGACGTACTGGAAGAGGAGACTTGAGGCTTCCAAATTTTGAAAACCTAGGCTGTTTGCTACTTAAATTTGGCCAGATTGTGTGCTTAATGTTGTCTTGGACGCCAGTAATCTTTTCACTCCTTCGTCATGACTGTAGAAGTTGTGACATCAGCCACAACTGGGCCATGCACATGATCACGGAGTTATTTGAGTACCTGCACAGTATTACCTATGATGGTTGGGCGCGTTTTAAAAACAACGTGTGTCACGCACTTCTATATCATCTTGTTCATAACAAATGCCACGGTTCTACCTTGTCACTGAATATGGCTAAAGTGTTTAAGGCCGATATAAAAGCACAGTCGAAATAAACTTAATGTTTTGATTTAACAAATGGTAACAAGTCTTTTGAAACAGAGTTTTAAGTAACGCATACTTCTGAATAGCAAAAAACGGAGTCAGAATTTGGTTGTTCATCTAGAGTGATGACCGCTATTCTGAGCACGGATCTTCGCCCACGAAACAGTATATTATTAATTACGTTTCATGTGTTCGGCGTTGTAAATTTGTTAAGGTTAGGGTATGATGAAACTGTAGTTCATCGCCGGATGCTGATTTCGTGGGTCATTTAATAGACTGCATAATCGACCGTTTTCGCCTAGTTACAAGAAAACGCAAATGGAATAATGTGTAACAAACCACAGATTCGACAGAGTTCTTTGAATGAACCAATATCACTTCTTGTGCGGATTCTGGATGAGGGTGATGAAATCGCAGGTCAGCGAAGATGGCCGATGTTCCTTCCCTCTGTGGCTGATGCCAATCCCTAAGTTACCGTACCGTTTCGTATGTCGCCTAGCGTCAGCATCCCACGACCCTAACACGTAGTTACTGAAAGCGCTGCAATTTCCACCGGTATCTATCTTTTATTTCGTAACCGCCCCTTACTCCAAAAGGATCGATTGTACAATCCATTTGTATCGTATTCTTCTCCTCTTTAGTGTTTAG